CTTTTACACCATAATAACAAGCCACTAATTGTTAACAATCTCAGTCGATTAAATTCAGTCGATTAAGTTCTTCCCAGCTGGCACCCTATTTGCATGTAGATATTTATATATTTTTTATGTAAATAAAGTTGTTATGAATAAAATTCTATCAGTTGATAAATTTGACTATCACAGACCATTCATGTGCCAATTAAGGTATCAACTGAACCCATTTTTTTGCACAGAAACAGACAAAAAAGCCTAAACAAAACCGAAACAAACTAACAATTCTCTTGTTATTTTAAAGTTAAATTACTTTTTAGTGGCATGCTTATCTCATACTGATACACGACATAAAAGTCAAAAAACAGTAATTGCTGTATTTTCCTTACATGTAATTGGAAACGAAATTGTACGAGATTGTACATCCCATTGGCCATATTGACTCTATGAATTTCAACCACTTCCTAGGAACATCATCTTTGCACATTACGTGGAAACTACACATAGAGAAAGATTTGCTTGGATCCCTTTAATAACAAAATGTTCAAAGAACTCCACCATGCCAAAACTTCACACAGTTCAAGGTTAGACATTGGAGAAACTGAATAAAGCATGGACAAAGCAGTGTTGACTACTACCAACAGAAAAGCACAGACTTAAAGACTTAAGGCTCTGTGAGTCAACTTGTGAATTGGATAAGCCAGTGTAATTAATATTTGATGTTTGATCTCCATACTAGGGTATGAACCATTCTAAGAAGTATTGGACTGGTAAATGAACATGTTCAGGAATATGAAATGAAATTCGATTAGCCCTCAAAGATAGAAATACGGGCTAAGTAGGGCTTGTGTAAGACACCCATTGTTCCAGATTTTAACCCATTGAATCCCGAATGAAATTGCATGCAACCTACCCCTAAATTCCCAGCGATTTTTTAACATTTCAGAACAAGCACGAGCGCTAAAAGTAAACCATATGCGCAGTAACCACACACATAAGATTAGGTTTCAAGACATCATTTATTTCAAGTTGAATAAATGAAGGGCCAAAATATTAAAAAATTTCAACAAAAAGAACTCAACTTGATGTTTAAAACTGATGAGAAAACAAGAAATTATATTATTTCTTTGCCACGCGACAAAATGCCCAACAGAAGCCAAGAAAATTGAATATGCGAAAATGAGTTATTATTGACTTCGGAGGACAAATTGAAACCAAATACAACAGAATTTCCACTCTTGTACTATAATGGCTAGCATTTGAGAAAACAATGGAAAATAAACGTGAAAGGCACATGTAAAAACCAATTTGAAATCAATTAATCAAATAATTTCTTTGCTGGAGGACGAAATATCACAGCGCTGCAAAAGAGAGATTAAAGTTGTAAGTCAAAAAGACAACAAAAAGAAGCTAATTATTTTGAGATCAATCTTATTTCAACTGTGCTAAATTAGTGGCCACTTAGTTCTTTTCTCAGCAGTTCTGCAGTAGCTGAATAAGACTCCAAAAAATATATTTGAACGAAGCGATTAAACTAATGAAAAAAAACACATGGAGGTCGCCATAAATTAAAAACGCAGAAATCCAGCGTGCAAAAATACTGTTCACTTTTAAAACCTAAAATTCCCCAAAACAGGGCACCAAAGGAAACAAATACGAAAGGAAGTTCGATAACAATAAATTTTCATTCAAGCTGAGGCGAAGAAACCTATTTAAAAGTGTGGCCACTATTGACTTCGGAGGACAAATTGAAACCAAATACAACAGAAGTGGCCAGAGGTGGCCACTTAGCTCTTTTCTCAGCAGTTCTCAGCAGTTCTGTAGTAGCTGAATAAGACTCCAAAAATTATATTTGAACAAAGCGAATAACCTAATGAAAAAAACCCACGGAGGTCACCATAAATTAAATACGCAGAAATCCAGCGTGCAAAAATACTGTTCACTTTTAAAACCTAAAATTCCCCAAAAACAGGGCACCAAATGAAAGAAATACGAAAGGAAGTTCAATAACAATAAATCTTCATTCAAGCTGAGGTGAAGAAACCTATTTAAAAGCAAAAAAAATGTTCAAAATTTTGCAGACGTGCTTTGCCACATGACCGCGTGTTCAAATTAATTCTTCATGCTAAAGTGAAAGCTCTGAGTTTCTCCCGACCACTTTTGCAGTCATTTTATCGGCTGTGGCATTACCAGTCATTCCAAAAGTTGAATTTAACTTTGAAGCAATAATGTACATTAACATTTTTGTTTTCTAAAGTCCAGGAAGCTGCTTTAAGTCTGTGATCTGTATTCAAAACTCACTTGAAAGCGCATCGATCGTCATGTTTTCGCAGCAGTTGAAGGAAGGAAAAATTCTTCACCAGAGAGGTTTGAGGAATCTGTACTCCTTGATCTTCCATTCTGAGGCCACCTAAAGGTTAATTTGTATTTTTCTTCTGTATTTTAAATCCCAAAGCAGTAATTTCTCCGTATTAGGAATGAAAACAAGGCCTTTGAAGTTTGTAGATTTGGCCCGCAGCACACCATGATAACCTGCACTTAATGAGCGCACAATTTTAAAAAGAAAAACTGTCTTTCTAGGACTCCTAAAGTCCCCTAAAAATACATTACAGAATTGCGCCCATTGAAAAGCGTTGCACGGGAAAAGTGGGGTACCCATGATGCTTTGTGGGTGCAATGACCTGGGAATGAGGTTGCAAAAGTTCACCACCAGCTTTGTCTCTTAAGATCTCAATTGCCGAATTCCCAAATGGGAGTTGTAAAATTTCGCTTTGCGTCCATTTACAGACAATGGAGATACAATTGGAGCAATTAGTATTGTTTGAAAGTGGTGAAATACTCTTTTCGTCAGTAAAGAGCAAAGGCTGCATTTGCATATCAACAGAGCTTGAAGTGTTTATCCATATACTAAACACATGATCGCAAGCAATCGTTTATGATAAAAAAAAAAATCGACGTCCGGCCCGAGGAATTCTGTAATCTATCCGTATTTATGGACGGAAATTCTCATGTAGTCCTTGCTTTTAATGTTTTAAGTAGCCACTTATTCGCATGGACAGTCGGTTTTGTTTTGGATGCGCTCAGTGACTTCGAAATCTGTCCACACTGGAGCTCTTTTTTCAAGGTGAACGCTTGTTTTTGATTTTATTTTTTTTCTACTACATGTATAAATGTATTACTACAAACATAAATGAAATTGCTTTCCTTGAAGAGAGATTGCTAAATTCGATAGCACCATTGAATTGTCATAGATTCTTAAGCCAGCTGTGTGAACCTAATGTAAATAAACATTTGGACTGCCGATGGTTTGTAGTTTTGCTTTTGGCTTTCCATACATTATTCTGTTAGTTTAGTTCTGATAAAAACCCCACATTTAAAAGGTAATTTAATTTTACATCTGACCGATTTTTAAACAATATAGCCTAATCAAGATAACCCAACTAATTACAGCTATTGTTCTTCAATGAATGGCACTACGTTTTGGTTGTCTGAGTAAGAAACAATACTTGTGAACGCGGCGTACATGGGGGATTACATGATTGACAGTCAAGTTGACAGGCCTGTGTGAAGTTATGCATGCTCTCTATCTCTTTTCTAGCTTATTTGTGTTTTCCCGTGCGACGTTTTTCAATGGGTGCGATTCTGTAATGATGCTCAGTAAGTAGATTCTGATTGGTTTATTAATTTTGTCCTCAAGAACAATAGAACAATAAGAGACCCAAAAAGTCTTCAGGGAGTGTAGGAAAGGCTTTTGTACCCACATGCTTTTTTTTGGGTGTTTCCAGGCGGCACAGGAAATTGGAGGGGGTCTTTCGCATGGGAGGTTATGGGCGGCATGGGAGTCAAAGGATTAACACTATAAAGGTTTGTGGAAAGAAAGTTGAAAAGGGTGCCCTTTACCCCCTAAGGCGAACGACGGTTTTTCCCAAATCAGCAAATCAAGACTCTCTGCCTGTGTACAATATACCATTTGAAAGCCACCGATCAGCTTATTTAAGAACTGACATCAGCAGCTATGAAGGAGGTAGTTTTTTTTGAGAGAAATTGTTTTAAAATGTGAAACTGAAAATCTTCCAACACATATCAATTCTGAAATATTATAGGTATATCCCTGAACAATAGCTTATTTTGCAGGTCATAGTACATAACTTGATGTGAAACAAGTCTTACATTCCATGTGCATCTCAAAAAAGAAACTGGAAAAGTATGGGGGTGGTCAACCATGTCTTAGATAGCAGGGAATCACAATTTTATGCCTACAATGAGCAGATCTTTATAAGAACAATTCCATGGCAAAAATACATAGAAATCTCTCAAATGTCCACAAAGTTGTGACGTTGTGTGCCAACACCACTCTTTGGGAGTAAAGGGTTGAAAAATATAGTTGCAAAATAATGCTCTGTCTTCATTTGCGATGCAAGCACTGGCATAACAATAAGCATAAAAGCTTATGCACTAGATGGGGTGGCCGGTCATAAGGATAAGCATGTAAGTATAAGAATATCAAAACCTTGCGTTCTCCTTATTTATTTCTTTTTTAATTTAACGTTTGCATTAAACTTGGAGTGAGCCTTTAAAAGGGAAGCCAAAATAATGGTCGCACAACATTAGAAGTCAAGAAGAAAAAGCATTTTCTTTCTGTTCAAACAACGGAGTCATTCACGTAGAATAAAATATAGTAAATAATAAAAATACAGTGAAAAACAGACATATATTAACCCTTTGGAAGATGCGTTTGGAAGAACAAAAACGATGAAATTCTCTTTGTCTGCTTGGCAGTCAGTTCACAGAACATTCAAATTTCACCACTAACTAAAAATAGCAAAGCTGACACCTGCGATCAACGAGCTATCTGTTTCCATGTATCTTAACAAATAATAATAATAATAA